TTCCGGTTGTAACTTTTAGATTGGAGGATTCTGGGAAAGTCCGTCTTGACTGCTCTGGTTGGGATGTTCATGCTTTTGTTGAGGGGTGGATCTGGACATCCTTGCTCTGCCTGCCTGCTCCCTCCCTGCATGCCTGACTCCAGCTGGCTGAAGTCTGCAAGCTATGCTTTCACATCTCAAGACTGACATCATTTAAATCTGTTCTCCAGCCACAAAACTGTCAAAACTGTGGTGGCTCAGAACTTGAGAATTGTTGCACAGTGCTCAAGTCTCTGTGCTGTATTTTTCTGCTTGGGAGTTCAGCTGTGTACTGTGATTGCATATCCCCTCTGCTTCCTAAAACACAGTAAACAGTGTGAACACTGAGTTCAAATGGCCCCTCTTTGTTACACTTCCAGAGCTGCCCAAACTTTGTCACATTCTCATCTGCTCATTGTTGGAGCTATGCCTTTCTCACATAGATTGTTTTTCCTGGCGTTTCAGGATGCTTTTCTTTTCTTTTAAATTGAGCAAAGAAATTGAATATTCCTAATTTCTTTTAACTACTTTTTTTGTCTGTTGAATAGAAGCTATTCCTCTTGAAGTCTACTGTCTCCCTGGCCTGATACACACTTGCTCTTTTCTTTTCGGCCATTCTGCACAGCTTATTATTTTATATCATATTATTAGTAGTCTTTGATGTTTTTCTGCTATTGTGTCTTTCTCATATCCTCAAGATTTCTAGCCTTTCAAATGCTAAGTGGTATAATTCTTCAGACTTTGACCTTGGGCTTTCTTCTCACTCTTTGCTTCCCCTAAGCAATTTTGTACAAACCTTTGACTTTAAATGTCATTTATACACTGAAGATACTAAAATATATACCTTTTCTTTATGGTTCACCTTGACTTTAAGAGAAAAAACAAGTTGTTTATTACACTGACATTCTAAAAATATTCTCCTGTTTAGTTTCCCTAAAGTTTTAAACTTTGGCCTTTCCTAAGTCTTTATTACACTGGGAGCTGATTTTTATGTTTGAGGTTAAGGTCTGATGGGTTTTTTTTGTGTTTTTTTTTTTCCTCCTGTGAGAATAACCACTTATATAACGTTCTCCCATGGCTCTGTGACACTACTTTACCTGTCTGTTGGCAGGACAGTAGATAGGAGTCCCTTTTTTTCTTCAGTGCTAGAAATCAAACCCAGAGCCTGTCCCTGCCAGGCATGCGCTTTACCCCTGAGCCCCAGCCCCAGCCCAGGACTTTCCTTTTACAGATCTTTAATTGGTGCTTCTGTCGTCAGTGTCTCTGCTCACTCCCGTCACATTTCTTCTTCCTTTTCCAGAGTTCCATTAAGCAGGTTGGCCGCCATGTTTGTTTTCATTCCCAGCACACATTTGCAGCTCTGCTTTTCCTTCTTCACCACTCAGTAGTCTTCACTTTCCAGCTTCCTGGCATTTGCTGAGCCCTCCTGCTGTCAACAGTCTTCCCCCTTGTGCTGTTGTTATGGGTATATAGGATTTCAATCTCTTTGCTATCCTCTAATGGTATCTGGGAGGGAGAGATTTTAAACATGTGTTCAGTTTATCTGCCATTTTACCCGAAAGTACAAAGTGAAGACTTTTAGAGGTTAGAAGTTGAATGACTTACTGCATTCTCTGTAATAAATCTTTAAAACATAATTAAAATTCACATTTAGAAAATGATAGACACTTCTCTTTTTCTGAAGGCAGAACACTAGTCCTGACAGCCACAAAGTCCCTTTGGTGTTTCAATTTCTTAATACTATATAAGGTTTTTCATTTGAAGTAGTCATTTATACTTTTTAGTATTTCATAATGCCAAAAAAAGTGGCTACTTCTTGTGTTGTGGTGTCTGTGACCTTTGGCTTATGGAACTAAATGCCTGGAAACAAATGTCCATGAAAAAGATTATAGACCTATAAAAGGAAAAAATTCTTTAAAACTTTGCTCTATCCCATTAATGATTTCACTGTTCTCTCTACTCGATACAGTCCTCTAGTGAAATGACACAGTACAGGTTTCTTTTGCCTGGCAGAAGTGGGAAAATACTTAGTGTAATGGTTTCTTTGCTTATACTGGATGCATAGAGTAAAGCTGTTTTATTTTTGGTCATTTCCTGTCTATGAACATTGTGGTCTTTTAGCCAATACTACTATAATAAAATATAATGCATAAAATGAATTTCCACAGCTACAAATGTTATAATAGAAATTCATAAAATAGTTTTTACAGGAATCAGCACCACTTACTCATTGGGAAAAGAATCTTCAAAAGACTTTAACTATTTCTGTTGTAGCCTGTTATATGAAGCCTAAAGATAAAAATATGTTTATATACCTAAGTGTCTGAAATATCGTCTTTTTTCCATCTGGATGTTCAGGATATGTTTTACACTTAGCCTGGCTTTCAAAAACTGATTGCTTTATTGCATTAAGTTCATGTCTTTTCTTTAGGTCCCCCACTAACTAAGAAGGCATAGAATGTTGTGATTCATCCTTACGAAGATCAAGTTGAATAGATGAACATGTAGACTTGAAATTAACATTAATTATCTTGAAGATAATCTCAATTGATGCCATATTACCTGTTGTTATTATAATTACATAATTAATGTTTGAGTTGGAGAATATAAGTGGAAATGTACTGGGACTTATGGGAAAACAAATTTAAAACTGTGGATCCTCCAGAGAAAAATAACCATCTTACAGTGAAAGTATAATAGACAGTGGTAGGAAAGTGGACAAGATGGACACACACACACACACACACACACCCACACACACACACTGTAGAGTGTGAGTCACACGTAATTCTTTCTCTCATTCTCTACAGCCAGTCAGCCACAAAGTCTTACTTTTATTTTCTCTTAAGTATTTGGCAAATCCATATTCCCATTTATTAATAATCACTAAGTATGAAGCATGGTTTTATATCTGTATTATTTCTGATCTTCACAATTTTGATCCCATTTTACATATAAGAAAACTGAAATTCAAAGAAATCAAAAAGCTTGGCCCCAGGATCATCTATTCATCAATGGCAGATCTGGAATTTTAATTCAAGTTTGTCTGATTTTTCTGCCAGTGTCATTTCTACTCCACTTTACCACTTTCTCTGTTTGGCCCTCCTGTGGGCTGGTGGACACTCTCACACCAGTCTTCTGCTGTTCTCCTCCATCTTTGGACCACCAGCACCAGGGCTTAGATCCACACATGATACTTTGCATTGAAGGGGGTCTTACTGCTTTTCTCTTGTAAGACCTTTCTCTGACCTTCAGCCCCACAGGGTGAAAACCTGACTTTTCAGCCTCCTCTCAGCCACTAGGATGTCCCATGCATCCTATGTTCCAGCCCTGCTGAAGTTGTGCTTACTGTAGTGTTGCACACAATCAGGCTCCATGCTTGTCTCCCTTCTACTGATGAAATTCTACTGCCTATCACGCAGGGATCAGTCCCATGCTGCTTCTTTTTGAAATCTGACTGCTCCCCTCTGGAAGAATTTGTCCTTCCACACATTATATTACACTTAATGTTTCTGTTTGTACAGGATCATGATGCTTGGTGAGGGAGACCATGCCATCCCTGCTATAGTTGCTGTTCCTCAAGCCCTCCTTGCCTTGGTGGCAGGGACATGCTGGCTGCTGTCTTTTGAACTACTCCAGTCATGACTGTGTGTTCTACCCAGCACAGTGCATTACCCGAAGCCAGTATGTGAAACCACACCTTACCTTTCCTTTCCTTTCCAAGGCTAGCATCAAGGACTAGTCCTGCTTCCCCACTCCTTGAATGTTGGATATTGTCTCTCTTCAGCCCTGCATCTAGTAGAAATTTAGCCTTTTTGTCTCTCTTCAACCCTGCATCTGGTAGAAATTCAGCCTTTTTGTATTTTCTTAGTTGCATATTCACTTAGAGTGGACTGGTGTTACTCGCCAGCTTACTGCTGAATAGACAAAGGTCTAAAGGGAACTATGACAAATGACCATTAAACACTTTGAATCCTTAATAATTAAGGAATATACTGTGTGCATGAAAAGCCCAGAGTAGGCCTCAGAGTCCTCAAAGACAAAAAAGAAATGGTCTCTAGCCTCAAGGAACACACAGTGTGAAAAAGAGGCAACATTGCAAATGTAGACCGTGAATCCAGTGTGAGGAGAGAAGTGGTGTGAGGGCACGCACAGCCAGGCTGAAAGTGGAGACCCAGTCCGCAGACTAGGAACACAGGCCGATCACTGTCCACGTTGTAAGGTTGGGTGAAACAAATAGCTATGCCTGTATTCACAAAACAAAAAGTCAGGGTTTGTTTCTTTTGTTGTCATTCAGGTAATCTTTTATAGAAAGTTTGCTCCTACTTTGGAAACAGTGGCAAGTACCATATTCAGTAGAGTGAAGTGATTTTGTGCATATAATGTAAATAACTGCTTCTTCATCATTTGTTATTTCAAATTAGGGGAGAAGTCTTCATTAATTTTACTGATTATAACTGAAATATACACTTACAGAATTTCAAAAAGCATTGAAATATGCAAAAATAGAAAGTTAGAATTTGCCATTTAATCAAATATCTAAGAGGTAAACTATTTTATGTATGTATTCGATAAACATTTTTATATTGTATGACTTACTATGGAAATACTATTTTGTAAAATGCATTTTTCCAGTCATATAGCTAATTTTATAGACTAAGCAGACCTATTTGGATTGACATGAAAAGATACCGGGATATGTTAAAGATAATTCTTTAGCTAATGTACTAACTAATGTACAATTAATGGAAGTAATTTGGGTTTAGAGGTGGGTTTGTTCATGGCATTCCTATTAGCAGAGTAGTGCAGAACACAAAGAGGAATAGTGCAGAACACGAAGGGGTCTATGGAAAGTTGGTCTATGCTGCGTGCTGGGCAGACAGCAGATGGACATGAAACTGCAAGCGGCCTTCCCACCTCTCCATACTGCTACTCACGCTGCCCAGAAAGGCTTCCACTTAGAATGACCCTTTGCTTCTCAGGTCTGTGGACGCAGGGCTCGAGGGTTCTCTGCAAGACTTATCTGTCATAGACTCACACCTCGTGGAGGTGGAGGGGGACACACTGTCGCTGTATGGATCAGGAGCCCTGGAGTCCCTGGATCGGAACTGGAGCATGCAGACAGCAGGGATGGTCACCACTGTCGCCTTCACGTTCATAGAGTTTGATGAAATCGTGCAAGTGCTCCCCAAACTGAAGATGAAGTTCCCCAACTCCCTGGTAAGCATCTCCCTTTATTTCCTTAAGTATTCTCAATCTGAACATGACCCATGTGCTCAGGCCAAACGCCTGTTTCAGCTGGCGGGAGAACAGGCTTTTGGTTGATCTTTTGGTGCTCAGTAGCCGTGAGTGGCTTTGCAGCTTTCTGTTAACATTGGAAATTCTCTCTAAAAAAATGATCCTTTATGGAGTAGAAAAGACCAACAAATTGTCAATTGTATTCAGATTGTCAATTTCTCTTGACAAAGCATTCAATAGGACCACACAGCCCTATATTATATTCAGGTGTTTTACATGGTATTGATAGGACATGGACATTTATTATATAATTTTTACAGTAGTACCCTAACAACATTGAAAATAATTTTACTGGCCAGGTGTGGTGTCTCACACTTGTAATCTCATCCACTCAAGAGGCAGAAACAGTAGGATCACAGTTCAAGGCCCAGCCAGGCAAAAAGTTCAATGGACCTCGTCTCACCAATACATGGGTGTGGTGGTGCATTGCTGTTATCCTAGCTGTGCAGGAGGCATAAATAGGACAACTATGGTCCAGGCCAGTCCGTGAAACTCAAGACCCTGTTCCAAAAATGACCAGAGCAAAAAGTGCGGGGCGAGGCTCAAGTGGCAGAGTGCCCACCTAGCAAGCGAGAGGCCCTGAGTTCAAACCCCAGTGCTGTAAAAAAATGTGCATTTGCAGAAACTGAGTTTTATAATGAGTTCCCTCTTGAGTTTTCATTACTGGGTTTTTCTGTTAGCCACGTGACTTTTTCCCCCTCACTTTCCCTTTGGTAGTATTTTTTTCCTACTTTGTCCTTCCTAAAGGAGAAAGGTAATATGTTCAGAAAAGACAAACTGAATTCACAAACAGACACTGCTGTACCATCCACTGTAGCAAGGTGATTTTGCTGTGGAATGTCAAGTGGCCAGCACAGTGAAGGGCGAGACCAAGGGTAATGACTGAGCCAGCTCTTCTCCGGCATCGCAGGCCTGGGTTCACAAAGCTCTGAAATTGCATTTCCAGGTTTTCCCTGTAGGTTTAGTGTCCATATAAAATACATAGAATCATCTTAGTGCCTACAAGAGTGAATTTTCTGATACTTTGACAACTGTTAAGGACCTTTGTTGGTGGTAGGCGAGGCTGTAGAGCTCGGTACTGAACGGGTCACTCTGGCTGGATTAGCTGCATAACTGTAGTGTAGTCATTTGGCTTAATGTAATTGCAGCCATATTCGCTGGGTCCAGAGCTTGCAGATCTGCTTTAATTTTGCTGTTTTGAGATGGCCACACTCCATGCTCACGTCTTTTGTGTGCTTTGACTTTGCAGCACCTTAAGTTCAAGGAGACGAACCTGGTGATGCTACAGCAGTTCAACGCACTTGCACAGCTCCGCCGCATCGAGCAGCTGACAATCGACCCTCAAGGAAACCCAGTGGTCAATTTTACACTCTGGAAATACTACGTACTGTTCAGACTGAGTCATTTCAGCATGCAGAAGATCAATGGAACCGAGGTGAGGGGGACTAAGGAGGTGCAGGCAAAAATGCTCTTTTCTAGGGAGACAGTGCTTTTAAATGGTTAGCAATCTAAGTAGTCATAACCAACCTTGAGAAGTTCTGTTTGAAGAAAAATCTTGACATTCAAAATGTCAAAAAGCTAAACTCTATCAAAAAACCATAAAGCAACATGCAAATTTTGAAAACAAATAGTAACCAAGACATGGTGAGTACTAAATCCTTGTGCTACTATTTGTGAATGTTCAGGGAAGGAAGTAAAATGGCTGTGGGAATGACGTTTAAAAATAGAGAAAGTAACCTGTATAGGTCATGTGGTCTTCAGACTGCTTTGCAGAGGATGTGACATGGAAGAGGGGGTGGTAGAAGACAGAGGGAGGGAAAGAACGCGGGAGACAGGGAGGGAAGGAGAGAGAGAGCGAGAGAGAGAGAGAGCACATGAATAGGCAGGCATCAGCACTGCTTCACTGGTATTGGTAACAGCTGCCTGTGGTGTGTTTTTTTTGGTTTAAGTCAGGCCTGGAACTGAATAGCTGGAAAACTACTAGTGAAAAGTTTTTTCTAGATTGATTCTGCCAGATAACCCCCAGCTGCTCAAAGATGGTGTTCTCTTTACATATTAATTGCTTTTCCTTCTGCTGAACTTAAAGAATCCTCCACAGGAAAATATCTTCAACACAGTATCTGTCAAAATTCAGTAGCTTTGCTCTTGTAAGATGACCTGTGGGCAACTTTGCTGCAACTGGGACTCTCCAGCTACTCCTGACCCCAAACTCCCAAATTCCAGCATGTTATTGGGAGCATGGAGGTCTCCAGGCTGAATTAAAAGCAGCCATATAATCACATCAGCTGTGGTAGGCCCTCAACCACGGACTTGGCCACCTGTTGAAGATGTCAGGCAAATCTGGGGCCTTGGAGAGATTCGGTCCAGTCTGGGTAGTCATGTGTGCTTCAGTACTTCCCAGAGAGAGACTGGAGTCCAGGGTCCCCCAGGTTCCCAGAGTTAGCCTGCACTGGAAATGCAGTGGTTATTTGGCTGTGGGCAAGTGGCGCTCCCTCATTACCGGCCATGCTGTCAGCATGGTTAAGCCTAAGTTATCATGTAAATCATGTAGCCACACATGATTTAGCCACGTGTGGGTCTTAAGTTGAAGAATGCCTGTTACTATACAACTTCAAAGTAAGAACGCAGAGGGCAGTTATGTAAAGCAGAGAAGAATTAGGAAGAACCAGTGTAATTTATTTGTTCTCATTTGAATTTTTTACATGCCATTGCCAGGGATATTGGAGACTTTATTAAAACCCTAAAGTATATACCTGATCATATCCTTGACACTGTATAGCAATGGGCATTGTATTTCTACTTCTCTTTGTATGAGAGGGAACCATATTACTGAGGTGGAATTAAATCATGAGCTTCAATAAGAAAAGATAGAGTAGTGGCCTGCATTGGCCACTAGGTGACTGTATTTGACCAGACAGCTCAGTCTCAGCTGAAGGAAGGAGCTGAGGGACAGCGGCCTTGTTAATTATGAAGGTCCAGGGTAGCAAACAGTCAAGATGTTTGTGAGTTGGAGGTTTATTTTTCAGAAGATGCCACTAGTATATTATAGCTAATATGAAGAATGAATGGGGGGGCAGACATGTTGGTACATGCCTGAGTGCCAGCTAGACAGGAGGATCGCAGTTGAGGCCAGCCCTCACAAAACACTAGCAAGCCTCCATCTCAACAAGCAACTCAGGCATGGTGGTGCACATCTGTGGCCTCACCCGTGCAGGAGGCATAGGTAGGAGTATCCCCATCTAAGACTGGCCCCAAGGAAAAACCCTGCAAGCCCCATCAGAAAAGTAACTAAAGCTAAGGTGGGCAGAGCTGTGGCCCAAGTGGTAGAGTGCCTGCTGGGCCAGCCCAGGTCCCTCCAAAAAAGTAATGCAGTTTACAGGACCCAAACTTTGACTAGGCAAGGGCTTCTCAACCTCTGCTCCACCAATGTTTTGGCCTCATCATCCCTTGTACTGCTGCCCTGTGCACTAAAAGATGTTGCACACACTCCCTGGTTCCTCTGCACCAGAGGTCAGTAGTGCCCTCCACCAGTCCTGACAACCAGAAATGTCTCCAGTTACAGACAAGTACTCATGGGACACAATGGCCCCTGGCTGGGAATCAGCTAACTCTATGCAGGCAGCAACAGTGTGTTTAAGATGCAAGCAGTCTACTTTATATTGAATAAAATATGCCCAGAGAGTCTTCTCAGTCCTGCTTTCAGATTTTAGTATTTTCTTATTTGTTTGTTTGTTTGTTAAGCCAGGCTGGCCTTGAACTCACGATCCTCCTGTCTCAGCCTTCCCAGTGCTGAGATTACAGGGGTGTGCCACCATGCCAGTTCCTTTAGCACTTTCATGATTATTCTGCGAGCCCTCAAAGGACATACTTGTGGAGAGAAAGGACGACATAAATTTAGAATGAGCAGGAATGTTCTCACTAATCCAGTGAGAATTGTCCTTACAGGAGCAGGCTTGCCTTCATACGTTAATAAAATGAGTTCTCTCATTGACCTGGGAACTTTTCCCTCTAAATCATTCTAGGTTAAGAAGCTGTAGGATTTCTGAAGAAAGTCTTTAAGAATTTAAGATACCTCGAGCATAATTCTCAGGGAACACAGCTCCAAAATCAGAGCTAACTCACACCCTTCCCCCCACACAGCCCTTCCACCGCCCCCCATCAACTTCCATAGCCAAAGTTGCACATTTTTATTTTAATTGGGCTCAAGGAAGAAAGGGAAGCATCAGTGTGGGAATGCTTTCCTGGACTGAAACATTTCATCTAGACCTTTCCTCGGATTGTGTTCTTACACCCCACTGAGGACAATGTGGTCTTTGAGCCCTCTGCTGTTTCTCCTCAGGTGACACAGAATGACATGATCATGGCAGAAAGGCTCTTTGGGGTCCTGGCTCACGTGGCCTCTTCTGAGTTACCGCAGTACCGTCTGATCTCAATTCTGGGCGAGGCCAGGTAATCTTCATTCTTACAGTTTTATAGATTACTGTAGCACTAAATGAAGAAGTGGGTTTCACATGCCTCTAACTGTGCCACATATGCACCCCAGATTATTTGGGGACTATCCCTGTTCAAGGTTTTGGTCATGAAAGGGTGAATACAACAAAGTCCTTGTTCTCACGTGGCTTGTAAGTCTAAATACATTAAAGATACATGTGAACAATGAAAACAAACATATACTATATAATTACACACACATATGCTGTAAGAGAGGGCACTAGGCACCTAGAGATACTAACTGCATTTTGACCTCACGGAGGAGGTGATATTTTACCTAGTTCTTCAGGAATGAGTAAGAGTTTCACTGTGAGTATAGACTATGAGCAATCTATAAAAATACAGGGAATTATAAATAGTTCAGTGTAACTGGAGGATAGGCGATTGTGAATCATGACAGGAAATTATCTGGAAGGCTGATGCTGGTGTGATGCTTTGTAGTCCTTGCAAAACAGGAGTAAAAGCTTGTGATTCAAGTCCCACATACCAATTGTGTGATTGGGTTCATGTTCTGGAAAGGTGGCCATTTGAGCAGACAGAGCCTGAAGGAATGGAAAATGGATGATCTTCAAAAAAATACAGCAACCTTTAAAAAATAAGGAATTGAAAATAGAATAGCTGACCAGTAAAAGCAGAAAGACTCTCCACTGCATCCTCTGCTCAACTATTAAACTATCAGAATTAATCAGGATGTACAGCACTAGGCCAGATGCTAGATGAGCCCTCTACCAGTGCCTCGGTTGGTGACGAACCCCATCCTGGCGATCTAGCGCCCCAGTCCCCAGGTGTTTTACTAGCATTGGAAAAGGCCTCACCCTCCCACATTTCCAGTGTTAGGGGCTTAGATTTTTGCCAGGAAGAGGAGGTAGAAGAGGTGGTGGGAGGGAAGAAGGGTGAGGTAATGTTTATTTCATGGTATCACATGGTTTTCCTGCATTTCAGGGAAATTTTAATTTCACTAGCAGTGGGAAGGACAGAGTCAAAGTCCGGGTCTCATCTGAAGTGTTGACTATAAGCTGAGATCCTCCCTAGATTCAATTAGAATTCCAGTGGCTACCCCATTGGCATAAATAAGTGTCAAACATAACCCTGTCCTACTCTGAGGATTGTCCATGGACAGCTGCCTTGCTGGGAGTAGCACAGATGGAAATGACACCCAGGAAGATGAAGGAAACAGGCAGATTTGCAGCCTGAAATACATAGCTCTGGTGAGCCTGAAACAATCCCAAATGGCAAACCTCACTCTAGCCAGGTAGCTGGGAAACACAAGTGCACCTCCTTTCTGGATGCAGTCACTTTCATCCTGTCCTAAAGAATGCCTGTGAATATTTTTTTTGGTGGAATCAGAGTTTGAACATAGAGCCTTGTGCTTGCTAGGCAGACTCCCTACCACTTAAGCCATGTCCCCAGTCCTTTCTGCTTTAGTTATTTTGGGGATAGGGTCTCATGTTTTTGTCTGAGCTGGCCTAGACACAGTTCCCCTTATTTTATGCTTCCTGCATAGCTGGGATGAGAGGCATGTATGACATCTCACTAACTTTTTGCTCGAGTTGACCTCAAATTTCAATCTTCCTGACCTCTGTCTCCTGAGTTGCTGGGGATTGCAGGTTTGAGCCACAATGCCCAGCCATGTTCTTGGGGTATTTTTTACGAGCAGATGACCAGACAAGCACAAATGAAAATAAATAAATGAATAAACAGCCATAAAGGAAATAAGGCACCATGTTTAAGTGCTAGCAGAAAAAAAATTGAGTACCAAAGCAGACCTGTGAATACTTTAGATCATCCATACATTATAAAATAACTATGCCTAGTATAGTTTGTGAGATAAAAGATGAGCATGAAAATATCTGGATAGAATGAGAAATTTTTAAAAGTATTCTAGCAGATCTGAAAGGAAACCAATGGAAGCTCTATACATGAAATATAACAAGACTGAAACTTAATGGAGAGATTTAACAGCTGCTCAAACACAGTTGAAAAGAGACTGAGTAAGCTGGAAGTAGGCTGTAGGGAATTTCCCAGAATGCAATACAGAAAGAAAAGATGGAAAAATCAGTGGAAAATTTGGTTAGGAAATCTGGAAAATTTGGTTAGGAAATCTGGAAAATGAAATGAATTAGCAAGTTGACATCTGTTTGGAGTTTGAAAGATACCAACAGTAATGAGCATGGGGGCAGATGTGATGTCGGAGGAGACATTGTCAGAGCTGGAAAATACATTAATCCACAAATGAAAGTAAGCACAACATTATCACATCACAGTGGAGACTGCAGCACAGGAAAAGTGAGGTGAGTAGATTAACAACTAGGAAAGAAGAGGTTATCTTCAAAAAGAGGTGAGATTCCACGGTCCAGATGTTAATAATCAACAGCTGCGGAAAAGACAGGACGAGGGGTGCATGCAGTGGCAACCAAAGAGATTAGCTGCCCCAGCCCTAAGACCCTTCAGGTCAGCAGATGTGCTCCTAAAGAAATATGCATGAGAGGATTCCAAGATGGGCGACTAAGAGGGAGGAAGCCAGAAGGTGTGCTTCCTAAAGTAAAATCTGGGAGAGACACTGGAGATACACCTTACAGGAAAAACCACCAAGAAGAGGCAAAACTCGACTCCTCCAACCCAGCCTGGCATAGCATATCACTCCACATTAAATGAGAAACCAGGAGGGCTCTGTGCTGCCAGATGCCAGCTCCGCACGATGGCTTGGGAAGAATGCGGACCACAAGGTGAGCTCAGTCGGCACGCAGTCTCACACAAACACCCTGGGCCGGATCAGCATAGCCTGGACAACTGACCCCACACCAGGGGGGGATAAAAGAGAAAAACAAAACTTGAATCATAAACAAGCGCTGAATAAAAAAAAAAAAGACAGGTGGCAAAGAGGGCGGGGCTCCCCCAAGCCCCGGACATTGCGGAGGGCACTCCTTGGGCAAAACTGTAAAAATAAAACCAGCGGCCAGAGAAAGGCAGGAGCAGCGGCACCCACCCAGCAAGCTCTTGGAGAGGGGAAAGCTTGTAAGCAGTGGAAAGTTGTGAAGGAAAGGCTCCACTGGAGAGGGGGTGAGAGGCACTTCCGCACATGAACTGTAAATTTAAAAAAAAAAAAGGAGGGTAGGGCTGTATACTGGAAGAACGACAAAAAGGGACATGCATCCAGAAGAAAGCTCAAATAAACAAAGCGCTGAGCAGCCGCTGGCTGGCAGTAGGAGGAAGGTGAGCTGCAGCCTCGATAGCATTTCACAAAGTGTTCTCCAGACTCCCTTTTTTTTTTCCTCTTCTTTGATGAGACAACAACATCAGAATGCTGAGGCTACTGAAACTGTATTGCATTTGAACTTGGGATTTTTTGTTTTTTTTTTTTTTGTTTTTTGTTTTTTTTTTCCCCTTTGATGAGACAATACAGAACACTTCACAACTGAGGCAATCTCCAGGACTGGAGGCTGAGGACGAACACCAAATTATTAAGACTGAAACTTTATTGCATTTGAACTTGGAGTTTTTTGTTTTTTTTTTTTTTTTTTTATTATCTCTCTGTTCTAATGCCTGTTTTACTTACTTTATTAGTATACTATCATCTGTTTATTTCTTTGCTCTGTTTTTTTTTTTTTTTTTTGTTCTGTTTTTTGTTTGTTTGTTTTTTGTTTTTTTTCCCTTTTCTTTAACTTCTTTGCTTTCCATCTCCTTCACCCTTCCATTCTAATATCACCATTGTTATTATTACAAGCTAGAAAATACTTAATTGCACACAGTACAGGGACAGTAACAACACAAGGGCAATGATGGAAGACAGAAAAAAAGGGAAACATTTCCCCACAGCAAAAAATTAGTACAGGAACCAGAGGGAATGAAGAAAACAGATACTCAGATCCAGACTCCAACAAAATGAAGATAAACTATGCCAAAGAACCCAATGAAGCCCACAAGAATAATTTAAAAGAAGAAATCTACAAATACTCAATGAGAATTTTATAGAGATGATACTGGATAGGGTCAACCAAAATGTACAGGAGACACTCAAGAGCCCTTTGATGAGACAATGACAGAACTTCACCCTGAGAAGTCTCAGGACTGGAACTGAAGGACTAACACCAAAATTATAAGACTGAAACTTTATTGCATTTGAACTTGGGGATTTTTTTTTTTTTTTTTTTTTTTTCTATTCCTCTGTCTCTCAATGCCTGTTTAGCTTACCTGTTGAATTAGTAACTATCTCTCTTCCTGTTTATTTCTTGGCTCTGGTTTTTTTTTTTTTTTTTGTTGTTGTTTGTTTGTTTTGTTTTTCCCTTTTTCTTTACTTCTTTGCTTTCCTCTCCTCTCACCCTCCTATTCTAGATATCACCATTGTTATTATTACAAGCTAGACAATACTTAATTACACAGTACTAGGACAGTAACAATAGCAAGGGCAATGATGGGGAAGACGGAAAAAAAAGGGAAACAGTTTCCCCATAATAATTAAGTACAGGAATCAGAGGGAAATGAAGAAAACAGAATACTCAGATCCAGACTCCAACAAAATGAAGATAAACTATGCCAAAGAACCCAATGAATCCACAAGAACAATCTGAAAGAAGAAATCCTGCAAATAATCAATGAGAATTTTATAGAAGATACTGGATATGGTCACCAAAAATGTACAGGAGACACTCAAATTCCAAGACAACAAAAATAGAGAATTTGAAAAGCAAAAAGAAAGAAATAAGAAACATAGAAGCACTGTATAAACACCAAAGTGAAACAAAGAACACGATAAATAAAGAGATAAATGAACTCAGTGAAAATAGACAATATTAAAAGAGAAGGGAACTCAGGATATGGAAAACCTCAGAAGAAAAGAAAAAACAGAAAATGCAAAACAATGGAAGGCCAATCCAGCAGACTAGAACAAGCAGAAGACAGAATCTCAGAACTCGAAGATGAAATGGTAAATTAGGAAAAAGACAAAGACTATTAGTTAA